AGATTGAAGAAGAAGACAGACATAGCCGGGGGTGAAAAAAAAAAAAAAAAAAAAAGGAAGATAGAGGAGAAGAAAGAAAGTGAAGGAAGGGGAAGTAGACGGCGCGGGTGACGAAGGTGAAGGTGCTGGCAGCCATAGCCGAGGTGAGGGGTTGATCGGGCGTTGACCAGACCGTTGACCAAGGGTTGATTAGGTGTTGACCAAGGTGGTTGGCCAAGCATTGACTCGGGGTTGTCCGCGTTGACTCAGCATTGACCAAGGCGTTGACCGGAGCTGCTGACCAAGATTTTGACCAAGCTGGAGTTGGTGATATCTCGCTGAGCCCTTAGCCTATCCCCTTGCCCTGTGGATGTGCACCTACCCCACGGTACTTGTTGAGTCTGTCTGTGTACTCTTTCTGCATTGAGTCTCTTCTGTCCTAGGTGCTAGGACTCTGTGGATGAAGGATAGGGCCTTGCTGCCAAACCTGCACGGGACTTAGTAGGACTAAGCTCTACTCTGGCATCTGGAGACCTGGGCATGAGCGGCGAGCGCTCGTTAAACAACTCGTCTAGCCCAATGACCGGTACTGTCCGACAGGTCTACTGAGTTCAGTGTAGAGGGTCTGAACTCCGAGCTGCAAGCTGAAACGAAGGCCGTCTTTAAGTGTTGAGGCCTGGTTGAACCACTCCCCTACCGGACCTAGTAAGGTTGATGATCTGTGTCTGACGACTCGATTGTCCCGAGGGATACGAATCCCTCCAAGGACCGGTATAGACCGGCGGGCTGCTCAGTGTCGCACAGTAGGCCGGAACGGCTGAGTTGTGGGCTGAAATCGCCAGGATGAACTACGCTGATCACGTCGTCCTGACTGCGACGTTAAAGAATTCTTGAGGAGTTTGGGGGATCTCCTTAAATGCCTCCTGATCAGCTGTTAGTTCAGTAGTGACAGCCTTGAGTAGTTGTGAGCAGTGGATCCTAGAGAGTCAGCCAGTAAGTCAGTGTGTCCGGGTAGGTCTAAGTGGTGAGGAGTGGGACATTGAAGTGCACCTAACACCACGATGGATGAGTATCCGATGTATGGGATGCTTGTTGGGTTCTCCCTCTGGGGGACCCTCTGGCGGAGGAGGAGGAGAAGATGGCCGCCATTCTGAGGGAAAGGAAGGAGAAGAGAGAGGCCAAGAAGAAGGAGCAGGCGGCCAAGTTGAGAAAGATTGAGGAAGAGATGGCCAGAGAGAAGGAGAGAATCATGAAGGAAGAAGAGGCAAAATTGAAAGAGGTGGACAAGGAAGAGGAGGAAGGACCGCCACTGCAACGGAGGAGTGGACAGCACAGTGGCAGTAAAGACGAGGAGATGGAGAAACGGATTTTGGAGTGGGTATCCTTGGGTGAAGAGGAAGAGGTTGCGATGTACATCCCCAAGGATGAGCAAGAAGCCGCTATGAAAAAATGGGAAGCAGAAGAAGATGTTCTGACGCGGCGGGCGATGGAAGATGAACAGAGGATGGCGTGGAAGCTCGCAATGATGAGGGAGAAGAAGAGAAGAGTGGAGGCGGCGAATGCAGCAATACAGGAATTGGAGGAGGTGCAGAAATTGAGTTTACAGTTGACACCCCAGGTAGATCTCCAGCGAAAGGTGGAAATCATCGCCCAGAGCGTCGAGCGTTTAGCCAAAGTGCAAGAAAAGCACTATGAGTTTAGTTGCAGCCAGGAGATATCAGTGCGTTCGATGCGAACGGGATTACGGGACTTTGCTCGCGAGTTAGTAGGCGATGTGGGGTCCGAGGTGAGTCACCGCCTCGAGAAGACTAAGCGTTTTTGTGGCGGCGCCATTGAGGGCGTCAAGGTGGCAGCTCCCAAGGATGAGGAGGCTCGTCCTCGCAGGGAGCCAGTCAAAGTCAAATTCCCTGATTCCTACAATGGAAAAAGGGAAGAGAACTTTAACAATTGGGAGGCCAATGTCAGGACCTATGTGCATCTGCAACAGGTCTCCCCGGATCAGCAGGTCCTAATTGCGATCCACACACTTAAGGATGAGGCCGCCAATTTCGCAAGGTCCCTTGTTCGTGCTGCCAACTGCAGTGACGATCCGGTTGCGTACTCCACATTCACCCCCCTCGTTGAGTTCCTGAAATTGTTGCGCGAGCGATTTGCTGATGTCGCTCGTAGTGTTAAAGCGTCAGATAGGCTGCAGACGATCCACGCCCGCAAGTGGAAGAGTGCCAGGGCACTCAAGGGTACGATGGATGAATTGGTGGCCACTCCTGAACATGGGGTCACAGAGGCCCAATTGGTCAATCTCTTCTATCGGGCAATGCCCAAGGCTTTTCGAGGGCAGTTCTTCGCAAAGAGCGAAGACCCTGTCGCCACTTACGATTCTCTTAGCCGTGAGGTGGTGGCTTTTGAAGCTAAGTCCGTGTCCCTGTCTACCTTCTGGCACAAGGACTTGGACAAAGGGAAGCAATGGAAAGGCTGCACTATCTCAGGGCAGGTAAAGACCAAGGACAACCTTGTCCTGACCTTAGATGAGGGTAGTGTGGATGAGATCCCCTACGAATAGATCGAGTGGGGGTTACAGGAAGAGGACAGTGGTGTGGGCCAGGGGAGGACTTACGCTGCTGTCGCGGCTGGAGGGAGGCCGCAAGGAGGACGAGGCCAAGGCCAAGGGGGCCGGGCCTCAAGGAGCCGGTTTCAGGGCGATCAAGGGGTTGGCGGTAGAGGAGGAAACCGCCAAGCGGGAGGCAGGGGTCAAGGTCCCCGACAAAACCGTCCTAGGAACAGGTCTCCCTATAGGGTAGGAGGATGGCACCGGGGCTACCGCAAGGTAGGCCTTGGGAAACTTTGGGTTTGGACCAGACTTTATGGCAACAACGATTGGACCGAGGCTAGTGCATTTTCTACGGTGACCCGGGCCACATCATCAAATACTGTCCTAAGTATCGAGAGACCCGAACGGTTGCCCAAGGGCCAAAAGGCAGCCGCCGGTAGGGGTAGCAACTGCCCCTACCATTAGGCCATGTGGGGAACATAACGCTAGCCGGCAAGAGACTCCCACACTACATGTGCATATGGCAGAGGTTGCAGGTCAGTGTCTAGACAGTTGCGCAGAGACTGCTTGTGTTAGGGTCTCTCTAGACACCTCCCTCACAGGCGTGGCTGAAGAGTTGAAGGAGAGGAGGCCCGCGTGGGTCAAGATGAAGAAGGAGAATAAAGGGCAGCTGATCTTATTAGATGCAGAGATTTTTAGAGGGAGAGTAGGGGCCCTAGTAGACTCAGGGGCCACCCGCAGCTATATTAGTAAGAAAGCGCTGCAAAAGTTGAAGCTGGGACTTCCAAAAGCTAGCAGACCCTATAGTTAGCATCGACGCAGACAATCGTACTATGGTTGTAGAGGAATATGTAGAGGGAGTCCAGGCGTATTTCCGCCTAGAGAAGGATGGGAAAGTGGAGAGGGTCCTCCACTCCCTGACTCTCCTCGTAGAAGACAGCCTCCCATTCGATATTGTCCTGGGAATGGATTGGGGAGAGGCAGCCGGGGCCACGCTCCACTTGAAGGAGCACGAGTGTAGGCTCCCTAGTTCTTCAGGCGAGGCCAAGACTGCCCGCCTGTTCCATGTGTTAGGCGTAGAGCATCCCTTGGAACATTGCTATCTTAGTGCTCCTGCGTTCGCCAAGTTGGTGAAAAAGGAGAAATTGGAGGAACAGGTTTTTGTTGCCTATGTTAGGCCAGTGACTGAGCCTACAAAAGAAAAGCCGATGGACCCTGCGATTGCCAAGCTGCTGGAAGAGTTCAAGGATCTAACTGAGTCGCCGGTAGGAGTGGTACCGCGGCCCATCCAGCATCACATTGAGATAGAGCCCGACAGTAGAACTCCTAAGGGCGTTGTGTATAGGATGTCCCCACGAGAGTCAGAGGAGCTTCGCAAGCAGTTAGACGAGCTCCTCGAGAAGGGTTGGATTAGGCCTAGTTCGTCTCCTTTCGGAGCGCCTGTCCTCTTTGTTCCTAAGAAAGAGGGAGAGCTGAGAATGTGCATAGATTATAGGGGTCTGTATGCTATTACAGTGAAGAATGCTGAGCCACTGCTGAGGATAGACGATCTCTTAGATCGAGTGCAGGGGGCCAAGTATTTCTCTAAGATAGATTTAAAGTCCGGATATCATAAGATAGAAGTACATCCTGATGATCAGTACATCCTGATGATCAGAATAAGAGAGCCTTCCGGACTAGGTACGGGCATTATGAGTTTATAGTGATGCCCTTTGGACTAACCAATGCGCCAGCTACGTTCCAACGCTGTATGAACGATTTGTTTAGGCCATGGTTGGATAAATTTGTTGTAGTGTACCTAGATGACATTCTAGTGTTTAGTAAGACCCTCGACGAGCATCAGGGTCATCTCAGGCAGGTCTTGGAGAAGCTGAGNACATTCTAGTGTTTAGTAAGACCCTCGACGAGCATCAGGGTCATCTCAGGCAGGTCTTGGAGAAGCTGAGGGAAGCTAACTTCAAGATCAATGCAAAGAAGTGCGATTGGGCAAAGACCCAACTTTTGTATTTAGGCCACGTCTTTGACGGAGACGACGTCAAGCCAGAGGATAGCAAGATCGCAACGATTGGAGATTGGCCGACACCGCGTACATTGACAGAGTTGCGGTCGTTTTTAGGCCTAGCCAACTACTATAGGAAGTTCGTAAGGAACTTCTCCACTATCGCTGCGCCCCTTCGCAGGTTGCTCAGGAAGGAGACCATCTGGAAGTGGGACAAGGACTGCACGTCTGCTATGAAGAAATTAAAACAGGCGTTGATAGAGTATCCGGTCCTTAAGGTCGTCGATCCGTCCTTGCCTTTTGTCGTTACCACGGATGCTAGCCAGTACGGCATAGGCGCGGTGTTACAGCAAGACGATGGCAATGGCTATAGACCCGTAGAGTTCATGTTCGCCAGGATGCCTTCAGAGAAGGTTGAGACATCTACCTACGAGAGGGAACTCTACGCTCTCAGGCAAGCGTTAGACTACTGGAAGCACTACTTGCTTGGGAGGCACTTCAAAGCCTACTCAGATCACGAGACATTGAGATGGTTAAAGACGCAGGCCAAGATGACACCTAAGCTTACTAGGTGGGCCGCCGAGATAGATCAGTACGACTTTGAGCTCAAGCCTGTTAAAGGGAAGTACAACGTAGTTGCGGACGCTCTGTGTAGAAGGGCAGATTACTTTGGGGCAATAGTGCACTATCTCGATATAGGGAAGAACCTGCAACAGAAGGTTAGAGAAGCTTACGCGCAGGACCCTATCTATAGTGACCTCCTTAAGAAAGTCAAAGAGGCCCCAGAGACTGAGCCGAACTACCGCACTACCGAAGGGTTGCTTTTCGAGAAGACTAATGTCTTTGACCGCCTGTGCATTCCCAGTAACGAAGAAATTCGTAGTCTGATTTTGGGAGAATGCCACGACACAGAGGGTCATTTTGGTTGGCAGAAGACTTTAGCCAATCTGATGCGCGCGTGTACCTGGCCAGGGATGAAGAATGACTGCGTAGAGTATGTTCGCAGTTGTAAAGTCTGACAGTGTAACAAGACTACTACGCGTGCCCCGATAGGTCTTCTCAGACCCTTGCCCATTTCGGATCAGCCGGGAGACTCGGTGTCCATAGACTTCATGGACACTCACGTCAAAAGAAGGCATGGCAAGAGCCAAGTCATGGTCATAGTTGACCGCTTTAGCAAGTAGAGCGAGAATGGAATCCCACTGTCTATAGTTAGCGATAGAGATAGTCGCTTTACTAACCAGAACTGGCAAGAACTCATGGGAGTATACAGTGTCTGGGCAGAAACCCTGACAAGGGTATCTGCCCGTGTTTTTCAACGTCGGACGCTGTCTGACCTTTTCACTTAATTAGAAGACTTGATGAGATTGACGTTGCCAGAGTTTATCCAGACCAGCGCAATGACTGAAAGACTTGAACCTTTTTGAACCTGACGTCGTCGACGCAGGACGACACCGACATCCGTGCGGGATAACGGGGGTCGGCACTGTCGTCCGCGGGTTTCGACGAGGCCGCGCTGGTGTGTGGTCGTGGGGAAACTAAAGTTAAAGCCTAGTCTAAAAGGGGGTCGCCGCGGCGGAGATTGGACGGCGACCGGAAGGGATGACTTTTAGGGTCCGCGGGACGTGCGGGGAGGACATGGGGCGAAGGCATTGGGGCTGGCTAGGTAGGACAGTCGTTGAGGCTGTCGGCTGCCGAGTTCGCCTGCCAGCCACGGCGGCACGCCGACTTAGCAGGCTTAGCCTGCTAGGCGCTGGGACGGGGCCTGCTGGGCATCAGAGCCCTTCATATAGAAGGGTTGCTCCCTTCCTGATGTGACGAGGAGCTAGCCCAGTAGGTACCATCGCCAGATTGTTACCCCGCAGACATGGGGATCGAACCTGACTAGATCACTACCGGGCTAGCTCCTTTTGGAGCAGCCCGCGATTAGGCAAGGGGTGCGGCCGATTTTCGGCCGTGCGATCTTCGAGATCGCGCGGCTGAAATCAGCCGCGCCGGGGTGAAATGGCCCTTGAGCAAGGACGACACGCATAAGCCGAGAAAAATATTTTTTTATTTTTGAAAAAAAAAAACAAAAAAAAAAAAA